ACAAGAACTAATGATTGTATGATTAAACGAAGATGACAGAAAGTGGTGGCATCTTTTTCTTTTTGCATGAGGACAAAGTTGGGATAAAGAAAGAAATGTATGGACTACATTATTTTTTTCATTAAAAATTAAAATTGCTTTATTTAGATTCATTAGTTTACTTACTTTACTAAAGGGAAGACTATCAAATAGAGAAAAGTACTTTTTTTAAAAGCCATTATGATCTGGACATTTTGAGAAAAGCAACTTAGAGAAACTTTCTCATATTTTGTCCTGAAATTAGACCCAGAGCCTTTTCACCAAGTTAGTTAGCTGCATACAGCCCTCTGAGGCTGGGTTTCCAGCACTTGTTTAGCAGATTTAGCAGCTTCTACTTTATTGTAGAAACAAAAATAAATCTGCACCTTTCCAAGAAAAACAAAAGAAATTAGTCTTTACCCTCAAGTCTACTAAATAAAAACATTCACAGGAACCACACACAGTTGAATGAACTAGAATTTAAAAACAGACATAGCCTGCCAGCACTCCGAGTATTCAATAATAGCTATGGTCACCTGGGGCAGCGGAAATAACATGGTAAAGATATTTTGAGAGGTTCCTGGAATCAAAACACAGGTCAGATTTTTCCCCTTTCCTTTTGTTTCCAGTAGAACATTAGCTACTCTCACAGGGATTGGGACAGTTATTTTCTCAGACTATGATATCCAAGCATAGTCTATTTCTTCCCACTTCTAGCCTGAAACTAGTATACTGAAAAATCATCTTGTGTTATTAGCCAATTTTTAACAAGTTTGGGAGCATACTCAGCTCTTTGAAATGGGAGGAATACAGGTCTCAGGGGACAGATCTCAGTAAAAACAAAAATAATTATTTAGTGAGTGGCAGTGAAATCTACTTGGGAGCAAGAGAATATAAAGCAAGAAGTAAAGTTAATGGAAGTTATTTATCTTGTCATATTAAACTATATGAATATGATTACAAAGGATAATAGTTCTATGCTGTTTAGAATTAAATAAAAAAAATCTTTAAATGTGAATTTTAAAAAGGCATCTAGCAAAGTCACTTATTACATATGCATAAGAAAATACTGTGGTTGGCTTTACAACTCTTTTTGCAGTTTTGATACTATGCATCAAAAACCAAAATTATAGAGTACAATAAAATGTTTTTTGCCTCCTTGGTAATAAATAATGAAAGACTGCTCATCTTTCACAGCTTTATTCCAAGAAACACAACTTCAACATAATATAGTAAAACATTTTAAACTGTGGCTATTTAGGGGAGATGGCCAGAATGAATTTGTGAAAAATCTAAATCGTAGAATTTAAAACATAAGTGCAGTTGCGTTTAAATATAGCTCATAAACTAAATTTAGAAAGCACTGGCGAATTAATGTTCTTAGGGGCTTGTTTTAATAAACAGATAAAAATGATTTGTGGTTAGCATAGCTGTTCTAGGTAATCAACTCACAGATCATATGTATCAAATTTTGTTCATCATACTATTACTTTTCTTACCACCTCCCTTTGATGGATATTGTGAAGATAAAGGGTTCGTGAACTGAGAGTTTCATTTCAAGCCAAATATATTTCTAATCTGTTTTACGAGGACTGTGAGTTTTGCCACTGAAAAGGTCACTGTAGCTTTCAAGTTTTGAAACTTTACCCATCCCTATTCTGGTAGGTAGGAGCCCTAGTGGCACAGTGGCTAAAGCATTTGGCTGCCAACCAAAATGTTAGAGGTTTGAACCTACTAGCTGCTCTTCGGGAGAAAGATGTCGTGGTCTACTTCCATAAAGACTACAGCCTTGAAAACCCTATGGAGCAGTTTTACCCTGTCCTGTAGGGTCACTGTGAGTCGGAATTGACTTGACAGTCAGCAATGGGCTTCGGTTTTTTTGTTTTTGTTTTTATTCTGCTAGGCTTATAAAGTGAAAAGAGACATCATGACTAACTGATTCTAACTACTAAAATCAATCAAAATGCTCCTCTAAGTACAGAAATAAAGCTCTTAGTACATTATCAGTCATAGACACAGAGCCATTTAAAACTCTACATTTTTCCTGACCCTCTTAAGGCTAAATCAGGTGCTGCTGCTACGTATGTTTATCTATTCTTTCTCTAGCAGAGCACTTATCAAATGGTATCATAATTCCTGGTTTATTTGTCTGTCTCTCCTACTAGACTGATTGTAAGCTCTATAAGGACAAGAACTCCTAAAGTATTATGTTTTTAAAAAAGTATATACACCCTCTTCTCACTTATTGACGTGGTTAGGTTCCGAAGACCAGGTTGTTATGCTAAATGGTGCTTTGTGAAAATGGAGGATGACCACATCAGATTACAAAATGGAGGACGACTACATCATTAAATAACTGCCAAATTACATCATTATATACTGCCAAATCACATCATTACATAACTAACAAACCACTGAAAATCATGGCCTAGCCAAGGTGACACATAACCTTAACCATCAGAACCAGTGTTACTCTTGCCTCGCACCTCAGTGTTTGTTACTGCCAGACATATGTCGTTAATGCGCAAAATAGTCGGATAGTAGATTTTTTGCTATTACTACAAAAAATCTACTATCCGACTATTTTGCGCATTAACGACATACGTCTGGAAGTAATGAATGCCGAGGTGCAAGGCGACAGTAACACTGGCTGTGATGGTTATGTGTCAACTTGGCTGGGCCATGATTGTCAGTGGTTTGGCAGTTATGTAATGATATAATTTGGCAGTTATATAACAATACAGTCATCTTCCATTTTGTGATCTGATGTGGTCATCCTCCATTTTTGCATAACACCGATTTTCACGTTAACGACCTGGTCTTTGGAACCTAACCACACCGATAAGTGAGGAAACCAAAACCAAATCCACTGCCATCGAGTTGATTCCAACTCATAGTGACCCTATAGGACACAGAAGAACTGCTCAACAGGGTTTCCAAGGAGCAGCTGGTGAATTTGAACTGCTGACCTTTTGGTTTCACACTCATCAACAACTGTAATGAATTATTTGGGGTACTGCTTTTTAATGAATGTTCTCCCCCTAGATGCTCAGCTCCATATCTGTAATGTTTTCCATTTGTCTCCCCAATGAGCCACCTAACATATACTTGAATGTATGCCCAAAGCCTAGAAGAGTGCCTGATAAATTCGATTTGGTGAACTAATGAATCAATTTTCTGAAGCTGACCAAGATTTTCTTCCTCTTAGAGCTGACTGGGTGCTTATCAAGTTTCTGGATTATAAGAATTATTCTAAGGGCCAAACGTCCAGACTTTATGCCTTAAAGTTTGCAAAATTAATCTGAGACACTTAAACATCAGAAATTCCAAAGGTTTATGGAAAGAAGATGTGTCTACCTCCTTTCTTTTCCAAGCTGAAGAACAAGTAAATGTCTCTATATTTTTTACATATAACAAGTTGCTATAACTAACATTTCTCTTACTTTCCTAAGGCAACACAAAGCCTTTCTTTATCTACAGGGCTCTAGTACTGAAATAAGGCATGGAAGAAAGAACAAACCAAGCTAAGGGGCAGTCATGACTGTGAATGGGAAAAGCATATATGCTTATGTGACAAGCTCTCCTTTTACTTTTGATCTTTACTTACCCTTAGATATTGCTTTAGTATAGTTTTTCCTTTGTGTTGCAGGTTGCTAAACATTAAAATAATCATAAACAAGGTTTAAATAAAACAGCTGGGTTTTGATTGTGCTGACACCAGTTTTTTAAAACCTAGTATTATATAATTTTTAAAAGAATACGGAGGAAGAATGGCTGTAAGATTTTTATTCCAGCTTTTAAAAAAGTAATTAAAAAATTTAAGCAATCTAAATGTTCAGTAATAAGACATTGGTTAAATAAATTATGATAGTTCCATATGATGAGGTAATATACAGCCACCAAAACTGCTATCGCACAAGAATATTTAGTGGCATGAAAAGATGTTTATAATGAATGGTTTATTAAGAAAAAAAGTCATTTTCAAAATGTTTATAATACATTCACATTAAAAAATTTGGAAATTTTGGACTCCTTCCCCAAAGGGCTTCCCCTAGCCCACTGTGTCAATTCCAGCCCTGGAAGGTACTTCTCCCAGGCTGACTAGCTAGCAGAATCAGCATGCTGACCTGAGCTAAACAGAGATGATTACTGTTTTACTTCAATACAAATCTTGACATTGATTGTTAATGTAATTTTTCCACCCCTCATCGAATCTACAGCACTCCTAAACGAAGATATTCAGAAGTGCACACTTCTAAATGTGATTATGCAACCTGAGTGGCACAACTGGTTAAGGGCTCGACTAATAGCCATAAGGTAGGCAGTTCAAACCCACCCAGAGGTACCTTAGAAGACAGGCCCAGCAATCTGCTTCCAAAAAGTCACAGCCTTGAAAACTCTATGGAGCAGTTTCACTCTGCACAGATGGGGTCACCATGAATCAGAATCAACTCTGAGGCAACTAACAAATATCATTAGTCTTATATTATAGTAAAACCTGTCAAAACTGAAACCTGTGTAAGGCGGAAACCTGTCAGAGGAGGTAAACTTAAATATTTTCCCCTAAAACGAGCAAAAGAAAAGTGGTAAGACTGCATCCTGTCAAAGGCAGAAAATTTGCGAGACCCATAAAAACAAGGCAGTCCTGTTGAGTTCTGGCTCTCACAGGTTTCACTGTACTTAACTTAACACTTATTTAAGAGAATTTATTGAGTTCCTCTATGTCTTTTTGTTACCTTCTTCCAGTTACTTAGACAGTGTCCCACAATAGTTAAGTGTCTCCTTCTAAAACCTATAAAAAAGTTTCCTTTCAAACTGATTTTAAAAGGATTCAGTGCTTTTTTCAAAATGTTAAGTTACTATTGTGAAAAAACAAAACAGAACATTATTATCATGTGGCTCAAATAACAAAGAATTTTCTGACAGTTCTAAAATTTTAGCAATAAAGGTATACTCAGGTTTAATAACAAAATCAAACTCACCTTCTTCTGTAGGATTGAACCCACAGATGTCACAAATACAACGAACCCACTTATTCATCTCCTCCTCACTGTCTGCTACCAAGTAGAAAATCCGGTCAATAGTGTTGATATCAAAAATGTAGCTGTTTTCAAACTCTTTTTTGTTAAACGTCAATCCTGCATCGACTTGCTGACATAAATTTAAATCAATGATACGGATAGGCTTCTTGGCATGATCATTTTTGTAATATTCCAGTACATCTGGATCTCCAGTTAAACGGCCACTGCGTAACACAAACCATCTCCTCTTCCATGCCTAGGGACAAAACAAAAAATCCATTTAGTATTTAGTATTAATTTGAAAGGAATTTTTCAAGAAGATGCACATTTATTAAACCAATTTTATAAATGCCTTGTCCAGAGACATATAAAATGTTTTCTTTGTTTCCATAATATAATCTAACACTTTGAAAAGCAAAGTTTACTGATAACTTTAATGAACTTAATACTGTGTTTGTGTGTGTGTCTATATCCACCACCATCTGTCAGTTTGTTGTGCTATGGTGGCTTTCATGTTGCTTTGAAACTGGAAGCTATACCACTGGTATTTCGAATACCAGCAGTGTCACCCATGATGCCACTGGTATTTCAAATACCAGTAATGTCACCCATGGTGGACAGGTTTCAGCAGACCCTAAAGCAGACTAGAAAGAAAGGCCTGGCAATCTACTTATAAAAATTAGCCACTGAAAACCCTATGGATCACAACAGAATATTGCCCAATAGAGTGCTGGAAGATGAGCCCCCTAGGTTGAAAGGTACTCGAAATACACAGTAGCCATAACAATGGACTCGAATGTTCCAACCATTATCAAGATGATGCAGGACCAGGAATGTTTTTGTTCTGTTGTACATGGAGTAGTGATGGCAGCTAACAACAATGAAGACTATATATGTGTGTGTGTGTATGTATATGTGTGTGTGTATATATATATACATAATTGTTGTTAACTGCTGTCAACAACCTTGTCTGTACATATATACACTATATATTCAGTATCATCTATTACATCTTTTACTATATAGTATCATATATAATATCAGGTCAATGAATCCCTAGGTGGCACAAATGGTTAGCTACTTCCAAGAGACAGAAAGGGCCACATAAACCAGAAACTCCATCAGCCTGAGACCAGAACTAGATGGTGCCCAGCTACCATCAATGACCACCCTGACAGGGAAAACAACAGAGAGTCCCTGACGGAGCAGGAGAAAAGTGGGGTGCAGAACTCAAATTCTAGTAAAAAGACCAGACTTAATGGTCTGAGACTGGAGGAACCCCGAAAGACGTGGCCCCCGGACTCTCTGTTAACCCAGAACTAAAACCATTCCCGAAGCCAACTCTTCAGACAAAGATTAGACTGGACTGTAAGACATAAAATGATACTTGCGAAGAGTGTGCTTCTTAGTTCGAGCAGATACATGAGACTAAATGGGCAGCTCCTGTCCAGAGATGAGATGAGAAGGCAGAAAGGGACAGGAACTGGTTGAATGGACGTGGGAAATCCAGAGTGGAAAGGACAAGTGTGCTGTCACATTAGAGAGAGAGCAACTAGGGTCACATAATAATGTGTATATAAATCTTTGTATGAGAAACTAACTTGAGCTGTAAACTTTCACTTAAAGCACATTTAAAAAAAAAAAAAAAGTCAGCTACTTCACTACTAGCCAAAAGGTTTGCAGTTCAAACTCACCCAGAGGCACCTTGGAAGGCAGGCCTGATGATCTGCTTCTGAAAGGTCACGGCTTATGGAGCATTTCTACTCTGCACACATGGGGTCGCCACAAGTTGGAATCAACTTGACAGCAACTAACAACAACATCAGGTCAACAAACCAAGGTAGGTTTGGTTTTATTAAATATACAAAAAAAAAAAAAGCTTTTCATGCCTTAACATCATGTCATAAAGAACATACATAGAAGTGCTTCTTCATAAGACTCCTTCAGATTTTAATCTACAGGTTATTTTGGGGGGAGTATGGAGAGAGGGAAAAATGGGTTGAAAAGCTTTCCTGGTTTTTCACCTAGAAAGTAAGCAGAGAAATGGAGTATGCCTTTCTTTTGGCCAGACAGCCTATTGTTCAAAGAGTACATGAATAAGATGTGTATTCTTGACTATGGGATACAACTTTTTGTCTTTGTCCAACTCTTATCAACAAATACATATTGGCAATCTGAACCTATATTCACCATACACTCCCTCTACAAGTTGTGGTAAACTTTAACACTATGCACAAAGAAGACTAAATTTGTTTTTTACTACCACCCTCCCTAAAATCTATATTAATCAAATAATGAAAGCAGAACCAAATAATTGAGACAGTTTTCTTCAGCGGTTTTAAACCCAACATCTCTGTGCGGAAACAAAATTACTCTTTGAAGTTCTCCTCAGCTAGCAGTCTGCTAGACCGAAAGAGGCCTTTTTTAGCAAGACTCCATCACCTGCTGAGTGGCATTCTCTAGTCCAGATTGAATGTGGGAGGGAAGATGGCCCAAAGAGGGCACTCTGGAAGTGGAAGGACTGAGAAACATGACATTTCATGAACCCCAATGAACTCAAATAGTCTACTGGTCACTGTACGTATCTGTTCAGTGGGCGATACTGACTGTCGGTCACATCTCAAGCCTTCGGTGTTGGAAAAGTATACCCAGACAAAGCAGGCCTCTTTTCCAATGATAACATGGGATGACAGCCTTACTTACACCTAGGGCATTTTCAAAAATTTTATTCATAGTAGTGTATGAGTTTGGTGCTCCACATTCAGTCTAAACACACTAAGGACGCTCACAAAGTTAAGAAAGCCCATTTCCTGAAAACATTATTTCTATGTCATCATTAACATAAGTATCAGTCTACTTATATATTTAAAAAATCTATTAAGTTTAAAATCACCAAAAGCAATACTAGTACAGCATGATAGGGTCTCGCTATAAAAATCCATTAATTTAATATATAAGGTATCTAATTACCTCAAAATAACTAACATTTCTTAGTAAAATTATGCCTCTACAGGTATTTCCCAATCAAGCAGTAAGTCTGAGAAGGTGATGAAGAAGTGAAAAGAAAATATTGTATTAAGTCATTTATACAGGGCCATCAAGGAAATACATCATTTAATACATGAATTTTCCAGATAGTGAAGGTTCTGTCTCTAAACACAGAAATGACTTTTTAAAACTTTAATGTCTTACATGGAAATCTTTCTAAAAATGCCTTACTACCCTTACTACATCATTCATAATTCGTTAGAATATAATTCATCCATTCCCCAATGATTCAGGCTACGTATTATAGGCATCAATTTCTATATTGCACTTTATTGAGGCTCACAGAGGCTGTTGGGTTGTACAGAGCATCATTTGCCTCTATAGTAGATAGTGTCAAACTACTGTACTTGTATATAGTTCATCTATAATCTTAAATATATTTTTCTGTCTTTTCCCTCTTTTTTTTTTTTTTAATCAATTGTCACTTCTCCCTTCTGATTACATAGGACACCAAACTCTTTCCTACCTTGGGGACTTCGCACATACTCTTCCCTATGTCTGGTATGCTCTTTCTCTCCTATCTTTGCCTGGCTAACTCCAACCTTTAGGCTTTCCCTTCTCTGACCACCCTCAACCCAACCACCCTCAAATGTTAAGGAGGTCATACTGCTTTAGGAACTTTATTAGCTTTATACTGATTTTTATAATTTCACAGTTCAATTTTTCTTTGTATTTATTTGTCTAGCACCTGACTCCCTAACCAGACTGTAAAATCCAAGAAGATAGTGACCTTGTCTGTTTTATGTTCTATCACATACCCAATGCATAGCATAATGCCTTGTACATAGAAATATTTGAATGATAAATAGATAGAATTCCCGAGAGTATACATTACAAAAGTTTTGAGAATATTAGATACATGACAACTAGAAAGGAGTGCTATCAAAACCTCTCCCATTCAGAAAGAGCCTCAATACTGAACACGTAAATGATAAATATAACTAAGAAAACTTTACCAAAGCACGTGCACAAAACACCTTGGGAAGATGACAAAAGCGTAGAAGAATGCAAAGTCCTTTTGCTACAGCTTATGTATGTTTTTGGAAACCCTGGTGGGTAGTGGTTAAGAGTACAGCTGCTAACCAAAGGTTGGCAGTTCGAATCTACCAGGCGCTCCCTGGGAACCCTAGGGGGCAGTTCTACTCTGTGCTATGGGGCCGCTATGAGTCAGAATCGACTCGATGGCAACAGGTTTGGTTTTAGTTTTTTGGTATGTATCTGGGAATCATCCTTTGTCTTCTGGTTCACTCCTGCTCCCCCATCCATCCCCTTGTTTCCCTGCTGAAATGATATCATTAAAATTCAAAAAGCCCTTGGAAACAAAAATAACCAACAAGAAATGAGTAGCAACAAACTGAGGTGCACGAGATATATTGGGCAGTGATTACAGAGGCTGAGTAGACATTACACAAGAAAGGAACCCTTAAAGCAGGAAATTACAGCACTAAAACACAGAATTTAGCCAACTAGCACCTGCCACTTATTTATTTATTTTTAACATGGTGCAAATGTGAATGTTTGTCTCAGTCACAAAATGAGTCACTCTCACTGAATCTGGCACTGATTACGCTGGAAAACAAAAGCAATTACACAAACTACACACTTTAATAAGGCAGATACAAAGGTTCTCTGGATTATAGTACAAAGCACAATTTAGCCACAGAATAAAGCTTGATGCTCGACAAGAGAACTGACATCAGCACCCTTGCTAATCACAGCACAAAAGCTTCTCTATGTTTTGTCAAAGCACAAAATGAGCCCACATAAATCAGTCTTTGTTATCTGAAAATATCTGGGATTCTTAAAGTTTGTCCTATTTTTATCCTTGCTGCATTGGTAGCCCCAGAGGAAGCTGTACAGTGCCTCACCAACTCTGCAGAGCAGTAACAGACAAAAACGACAAGTTTACTAGAAACCTTCAAAACCACACACTCAAAGCAATTTTACATAAAACTAATGCAGTAAAATCGTTTTAACTATCAGGCTTCCATTACAAGTAGGTTTGCTTGAGAAGAACTATGCAAAAATTTGTATTTTGTAGCTTAAAAGTACCATACTCTGATACCAGTGTCTCGATGTTTCAAGATTAACTTTGGCTACTACATAAACTTCAAAAGAGGACAGCACGTACGTTCAGCACGGATCCCAATGGAAATATATTCAGACCAGAATTTCTTCAGATCAGATTGCCAAACTAAATATTCATAA